CACTGGAGAGGGAGTCAGAAGCCGAGGTCTTTCTCTGGTGCTGAGTGTACCCACAGGGGCAGGAATATCTGCCAGGGAGCTTACACCAGTGGTGGCTCCCTGAGCTGGTGGGCAGGGCTCCCTGGCTCGGAGTGCCCTGGGCGGGAGCTCCTGCGGGGCCCTCCAGCCTAGACGCAGCCACCCTATCCTTCCCTCCCTGGCCAGCTTGCCCACTGGGGGGCGGGACGAGGTGGAGTTTGCAGGCGTGGCTGTGCCAGGCTGGGCTGACGGTGATGCTCTCTGGATGTGTATGTGAGGGGAGCCTGGGACGGGGCCATGTTCTCGGCAGGGACCCTGGCCAGCCTGCCTCTACCTGCCCCCACCCCAAGCACTAACCGCTGATTGCCGGGGCCAGGCTGTCTGTCTGTGAGCTCGGTTCCCAGGGAGACAAACCTCCAGGACCCTGTGTGCTGGGGGCTCCACCCACCCAGCTCCGCCCTGCTCCAAGGGGCCCTGAGTGCAGGGTCGGTACCGAGTTGACCGTGATGGCAGGCTCCGCTCCTGGGCTCATACTCTGGGGAGCATGCGAGCTCCCAGCCACTGTACTCCTGGAGGCAAAGCCAGGGCCCTTCTGGTGCGGGCAGGCCAGGAACCTCAGGGGGTGTCATGGAGGGCTTCGTGGGAGGGGGGGCATCTGTACCGAGCCTTGGCGGTTGAGTGGGATGTGGAGACAGCTCCCTAGCTGACTCCTGCTTGCTGGTGTGACCCTGAGGGTGCTGCTATTCTCAGTGCCTCAGTTTCCTCACTTGTACGGGGCCGGGGGTGGGAGGGGTGGATGAGAGTAGCCACCCTGCAGGGTGCTCTGTAAACAGAGGAGTCCTCCCCCGTGAGGCTGGTGAGCTGGGCGGGGGTCTGAACAGGGTCACTCGGGCCACCCTTATCCTGTTGGTGCCAGCACCTTAACCCGCCTCCGCGGGGGTCCCTGCATTTCTATCTTCAGAGCTGGGCATGCTCCTTCCAGGCCTTTGCCTGTGCTGTGCTCCCACTCTGTGGGCCAGGAACCCTGTGCAGCCCCCTCCTCTCTGCTGCCGGGTGGCTGTGGGAGCCTGGAACGTTCTAGGGAGGGAGGCAGGGCAGCGCCCTGGCTGGGCCTTTCTCCTCCAAGGGTGCTTCTGCTCCTTCATGGTCCCTCTGTCTGTCTGCCCCGGGCTATATTTAGCCGGCAGGTGTGGGAGCCACCCCCAGCGGGGTCGCATGCAGGTCGCCACCCCCCACGTGACACTTGGGCGCTATAAATAGCCCCAGGCCTAGGCTGAGGCTGCGGCATTGCTGGAGCCCTTGCCGCTGTGGGAAGGGCGCCCGCCAGACCCTGGCCCAGGCGGCCAGCTCCGCTCGGAGGTGCGGAGGTGCGGGTGAGCCTGGGCGGGCGTGACGGGCTGGGTGGGGAGCCCCTCTGTGCCCCCACCGCGACTGGCCCGGGGCCCCCAGCCTGCCCGACCCCAGCCCTTCCCACGGAGCTGCGTCGCCTCTCCTGGGCCCCCACTGAGCCCTAGGCCTCCAGCCCTGCCAGTAGCCTAAGGGGGGGCCCCTCTCTGAAGCCTGTGGATTCAAACTTTTTAACCCACAGTGCCACTGGGAATGAGGGCGGTAGCCTCCCTGAACTTCGGGTTTCTGTGCACTGGGGTTCAATGTTTTCCTGCCTCCTACACCTGAGGCTGAAGAACCCACTTAGCTGGGCTCTGGCCTGGCCAGGCCCCAGAGAATGTTCTCCCCTTTCCTGGCCTGCTTCCACATCTGGCAGACAGGGACAGAGATGGGCCCTCCCTTCAAGGGTCGTGAGAGGGTCTGTTATGGCACTAGGAGAGGGTTCTCTGCCCACTGGCCAGAGTGTCCGGGCCAGGATCCCAGGAAGGTGGCTGCAGGAGTGGCAGCCGGAGGGCAAGAGGGAAGGAGGGGCTGAGGCTCCCAGCAGGGCTTGTGGCAGGGGTGGGATGGGGTGGGGTGGGGGCTGGCAGCAGCAGAGAAGCTGAAACAAGGCTGGTCTCACAGCTGATTGGGGTTGGACGGCCCGTCCCCATTTCACAGATGAGGAGCCTGAGGCCTCGTCTGCAGGGAGTTCTCATTGCCCACCTTGGGGATCCTGCCTCTGCCCAGACCTAGAGCTGAGGGGGATCGGGAGGTGGCCAGATGGGCCTTGGCTGCCCACGGGAACCACCGGCTCTGAGGGCCAGCTGCCTGCTCCCATGGAGCTAGAGTTCCCCCCTTAACCCTTACTCTCTGGGCTCTACTCAGTGACCTCACTAAGGGCAGTGTGGGTGTGCAGAGGGCTTCTCCCTCGGGAGTGGCCACCGGGCAGTGTTCGGCCATGTGGGGCAGGAGGGTAGGACATCACTGCTTTGCTCTTACCTCGGGCTGGAGACCTCGGACTGCAGACAAGTGGGGCGTGTGGTTGCCACAGCCCAACCTGGTCCAACCTCTGCCTGGATCCCTGACCCCATTCTAGCCTGAGCCCTGGCCCCTGACTGCAGCCCAGTCTGAGCCCTGACCCCTGCAGACATGGACATCCTCAGGCCCTAGGTGGGCAGTGGTGTGGGGATGGGTCAGAGCCCCCTCCCTGCAGTGACCTGCAGCCCTGAGGACCTATCCAGGGATACCAGGCAGCAGAGCCAGGCATGGGCTATTGTCTGTGGGGTCTCCCCAGGTCCCCAGCAGCTGTGGGTGGTGAGAGTGGGTCAGCTCCCACAGTGCTGTGGCTTCTTGGGCCTCTTTTCCTTCTTTTTTTCTGTAAACATGAGCTCAACTCAGGCGCGCGTGCATACACACACACACACACACACACACACGCACGCACGCACGAGAGCGAGAGCGCGCTCTCAGGGACATTCTGCCGTCCCAGGAGGGACCCAGCTGTTTGTGTGCTGTTAGGACCTGGTGGCTTTCCTCACCTGCACTCAGAGCCTGTGCTCGCTCCAGGCAGGGCAGAGTGGGAGCTGGCTGCGCCAGGGACAGGAATCCTTCCCTCTGCCTTTCGCCTCCTTCTGGGGTCCCTCCATCGTAACCTTCCCAGGACCATGCGAGGGACAGAGTGTGAGATGGCGCCTGTCCTGAGCCTGTGAGTGCTGGCCACGGCCTAGGGTGTGGCGGGCAGGCTAGTGAGGAGCCCCCACCGTCCTGCGCAGCCGCAGCCCTGGGCAGTGGGGGCCAGCAGTGGTGGAGCCAACTGCTCTGAGTGCGGGGGCCCAGGCTCGTGCCCTTCCTGCACCCAGGCTGAGGCTCTGGGGGCCCAGCCTCCCTGGTGGGCAGCTGGAGCAGGGGTGCTGGGGCAGGGCAAAGGTGAGAGGAGGTGGGGGTTGGAGCACCGTGCCAGGGGGCGCCCATGAGGTGCCCCTTCCCTGGGCAGAGAGAAGGAGGCAGGGACAATGAGCAGATAGGAGTGGCGGGGTGGGGCTTGGGTTGCGTCCAGTGGCTGGAGGGTCTGCTAACCACTGGGTCATGGCAGGGGGTGAGGGGCCTTGAGGTTATCTTTTTGTCCCCTCATCATGCAAATGGGGTAACTGTGGCCCAGAGAGGCCAGTGACACGCCCAAGGTCTCCCAGCACTGCTATGGGGTGGGAGGGAGGCTGGGTGCTCCTGAGACCCCCTTGCCTGAAACCTTGGGGTCATGAGACCCAGGACCCTGTCACAGTGTGACCCTACTCCTGGCCACCGTGTAGCTGGCCCTTTGGCTGTTGTGGTCTGTCCCTGCCTCTCGGAGCTCTGGGAGCGCAGAGCCCAGCCTGTCTGTGTACCTGGCTGTCCCCATGAGTGCAGTGGGGACACCATGGCTGGGTGGACAGGGATGGGCAGGACACGTTCTGTGGAAAGTAAGAGGCGACTAGGGTGGCTCACGGCCATGCGTGGGGCCTGCCCCAACTCCAGGGTACCCTGGCAGCACCAACTAGGCCTGAGCCCCTTTCCTTGAGGACGGGCACCCCAGAACAATCTGGGCTCAGACATTCCACAGGGCCAAGGATCTGAAGAGGAGAAGGGTGCTGACTTGGGGTGGGGTATCTGCTGACCACAGGCTGCTGGGCAGGGCCAGGCTCAGCCCTCCATGGGCTCTGTCACCACAATTGGACCCGTGATCTGCGCACTGGGGTTCAGCATGCTCCTGGGGGGGGGTGTGTCCCTGAAATTCTCCTCTTCTTCTGTCCCCCTCTATCACATCCTGGTGGCTGTCCCATCACCTCAGGCCCCTAGGTCAGCCCTGGTAGGAGCTGTCCTTCCTTGCGCTCTCATGTGGGGAAGTTGAGGCCCATGGAGAGTCACCCATTCATGTGGCCACAGGCAGGGCCCTGGGAGAAGCCCGTGACTGTGGGCTCGGGGCAGGAGGCAGGGCTCCTGGTGACCCCTTCCTGACCATTTCTCTCCTCCCTAGACGTTGTAGCCTGCCGCTGACCAGCGGGGATGTGTGGAGAGGGCCTGGGGGCTGCTCTGAGTCCTGCTGCGCCCTGCACCGCCGCTGCGCCTGCTGCTGAGGGGGCCTCCGCCTCCGGCTCCCACCATCGCCCTCGCCCGCCGATGGCCTCCGCTGCCTGGCCCAGGGCCGGCTCTGCAGCCTGAGACCCCTGGCCCCCTCCAGGACTCCTGGGACTTGCTGTACCCCGATGGGGTAACGTGACAGTGGCCCTGTGCATCCGAGGCCTCAGCGGCCACGGCCGCCGCTGCCTGTGACCCCACCCCAAGACTGCCGGAGTTGGATCAGTTCATTTTTTCTTGTCCTTGGGAGTTTGGGGCCCACCCTTGAGCTAAGGGGGCTGTCTGCCCACCACTGATGCAGAGAGGGTGTCCCCAGTGGTGGGCCCAGCGCTGGACACTGCCCTGGTGGCTGGATTCGCTTTGGGTTTTTTAAATTTTCTTTGCTGAATTTTTTTGGTTGTTATTTTTGTTTTTGCCTCTTTATAATTATCCAGCTCTGAGAGATAGGAGTTTGGAGCTGCCCGTTTCACTTTGGGGGCCTGTTTTGTTCCTTTTCTTTTTTAAAGAGTTGGGTTTTCTTTTTTAATTATCCAAACACCGGGCAGCTTCCTTCCCCTCTCCCAAGTATTTGCACAATATTTGTGCGGGGTGTGGGGGCAAGTTTTTAAAAGTCTTTTCCCTCTCTTGGACAAGCACAGGGATCTCATTCTGCTTGGTTTTGGGGGCTGGTGGGGCTTCTCTGGCCTGGCCCCGGCCTCTCCAGCCCCTGCTGGCCCCGCTGCGCCCGTCCCGCGTGGGGCGGGAGCATGGCGCGGATGAACCGGCCCGCCCCGGTGGAGGTGAGCTACAAGAACATGCGCTTTCTCATCACGCACAACCCCACCAACGCCACCCTCAGCACCTTCATCGAGGTGAGTGGGGGCAGCGTGGGGTCTGGCAGGATGGGTTTAGAGCGGAGGGACTCCACGCTGCGTGGCTAGAGGCGGGTTGGGAAGTGAGGGCGTAACAGGCTGGGCCCTGAGTGGTGGGACATCGCCTTGGCTGGGGCTGTCCTAGCCCTTTGCCCACCCTTTGGCCTCCGTGCAGAGGCTGAGCGAGAAGGGCGGGGGGGCCCTGATGTGAGAAGTGGCTGCTTAATAGGGGACAGGCAGATGGGGACAGGTGTGCAAGTTGGCTCCATGGCCAGCCTAGGCCACAGGAAGCCTTTTTGGGCTTTGGTGAGGCTTCAGGTTAGACCAGGCTGGGCTGGGGGCTTCAGGGCTCAGATCTCTTGTGTGAGGAGGGAGTGACCACGGAGGTAGTGACCACTGCACCCTGGAGAGCCAGGAGCAGAGAGACCAGCTCTCCGCAACTCCAGCAGACGCGGCCAGAAGCATTGGCAGAACCCATGCTGGGAACCGAATCTGGAGCTGTCCGCGTGGCCTCCCGTGGGAGCCGGGCCTCTGCGGCGCTCGCTGCTGTGTGCAGAGCCTGCACCACGCACGGCTCTTTCAGAGGTCGCAGTCGCGTGCGGGGTCATTTTTGGCCTCAGACTCTATTTTTCCCTCTGTAACGTGAGTCGCCATGAACTTGTCATAATTAAACAGGGCCATGGGCATGAGAGGGCACTGAAAGCTAGAGAGAGAGGCAGTGGGCCCCTGGTCACCGAGCCAGATGCCCATGGAGGATGGCCGCCCCTTTTCACACCTGACACCCTCGAGATGACAGCAAGGCTGGTAAGCGTAGCACCGGGAGTGACCAGGGGCAGGGCTCAGAATGTGACCAGGGTTGGGTTCAGTGTGTCACCAAGGGACGGGGCTCAGTGTGTGAGCAGGATTAGGGCTTTATGTATGACCAAGGTTCGGGCTCGGTGTGTGAACAGGATCAGGACTCAGTGTATGGCCAGGATCAGGGCTCAGCATGTAACCAGGGTTGAGGCTCAGTGTATGACTAGGATCAGGGCTCAGTATATGACCAGGGTCAAGACTTAGCATGTGACTAGATCAGGGCTCAGTGTGTGACCAGGGTCAGGGAGGGCTCAGTTGCCCCTGCTAAGGGCACAGAGGGACTCTGGTGTACCCCCATGGTCTCAGAGCCTGGCACCTCCTCCTACTCCCTGTATTCTTACAATAGTTGGCTTTTGGGCTCCCTGTGTCCACTGTCCCCATCGTATGATCAGCAAGACTCAGCAACTGATTCCTCACCACTCCCAAAATAGCTGCAGGGAGCAGGTGGGGGTGGGAACAGCCCTTGCACGTGGCCGCATGGAGTGGGGTATAAATATCTATCTGGCTGTGCGTGACCATGACCTTTTCCCTGGTAGTGTGGGCTTCCCCACTGGTGTGCAGGGTCTGGCTATCTGAGCGGGCACCTGCCCCCTGCTCTGAGGCTCCTGCCAGCTGAGGCCTGCCCCTAGGAGACTCTGAAGGGCTCCTGGGCTGAGCCTGCCAGCGGGGGGCTGCCCAGATGCAGGGCCCATGTGTGGGCTTGGGGGGCCTCTCCCTCTGGGGGACTCAGTAGCTTTGCCTGGAAAATGGGGCCTTGCTGGTAGGATTGGGTGTCCTGAGCACTGCAGCGGAGGGAGGCAGTGTGCCGGGAGCAGTGGTCGCAGCTGTCCAGCTGTGAATTGCAGTGGCTGTAGGTGGGAACACCTTCCTCTCTGCTGTTGGGCCAAGGGTCAGGTGCCCGGCAGCATCAGGAAAGGCTCTGCCACCCCCAGACGCCACCCTGGCCAGTCATGAGCCTGAGGGTCCACCATAGGTGGGGCACACTGCATCTGAGCCTTCCTGTCTGGTCCAGGGGACACGGCCCTGCCCTGGGGGCTCCAGTCAGTGGGCCCTGACCCCCGAGCCCTGCAGCCCCAGGCCAGCCTGCCTCCTCCCTCCTCCCCCCACCAGGACCTGAAGAAATACGGGGCCACTACCGTGGTGCGCGTGTGCGAAGTGACCTACGACAAAGCCCCGCTGGAGAAGGACGGCATCACTGTGGTGGTGAGGGCCGCGTGGCGCTGGGACACCGCTGTTCCGTGGGGGGTGGGTGGAGGGGTCCTCTTGGCCTAGGCGGCCCTTCTCAGCCTGGGTGCTCCTCTCCGCCTGGGCAGTAGGTTTGTGCTCCTTGCTGTGGGGCAGGCACATGTGGCCTCTCTAGTGCCACCAGCCATTCTGCAGCCTGTTTGCACCAGGACCACATGTGTCTGGGCACATTGGGAACAGGCTGAACGTCAGGACATGTGACACGGAGAAAGTCACACCCTCTGCACTGCATTTTTCCACATCTAGAGTGGGCTGGCCCAGCCTGCAGGCAGAGGGTTGCACACACTCGGTGCATTAGCCCGGCTGCAGCTCCCGAGAGCCGGGCCCTCCTGCGTGCCGGGGTCTTAGACTCAAAGCAGCCCCTTGTGTGGTTCCATCTTGGGGAAACTGAGGCTTCGGTCAGGCCACATGGTGGGAAGGCATGAGCCTCTGCCTAGGGTGACACACAATTATGCCCCTAACTGCCGGGTGCACTCCCCATTGGGGTCTAGGGCTATGACCCCCAACAGCCCTGCCTGGCAGAGCAAGGCTCCCGCGTGGACGGGGCTGCGGGGCTCAGCGGGTGTGCGCTCGGTTCCCTGCGAGAACCCTGGCAGAGCCAGGCCCTGTGGGGCTGCGTGCAGGCTGCCTGGCTCCTCCACGCCTGGCCTGTCTCAGGCTCACCTCCCTCTCCTGCCTGGTGTCTGGGGCCCTGTTGCCGGGCAGCAGGTCCCTGGGAAAGTTCTCTGCAGAGGCTGTGGGGAGGGACCCTCAGGGCCGTTTCCCTGGCTCCTCCCGCCCTGGGGAGCCAAGTCTAGGTGGAGAGTAGGGCAGTTCTGCTGCCATGTCCCTGTGGAACGGGCCATAGCAGCCAGACCCCCGGAGCCAGCCCTGTGGAGTCCACCCCAGTCTGGCGGCTGGCGGCTCCCCTGCCACAGGCTTCCCCACCCGGGCTGGGGCAGGGAGTGAGGCCAGCCTGGTGTGCAGCAGGCCCTGCCTCGCTGTGCTTGGGCCTCTGTCTCTTCCCCGCAGTGCGGAGGACCCATTCCTCACTGCCTTTCATCCAAGGGCCCCATTTTGGCAGGTATCGCTGTGTTTAGTGGCCACTGCTTGGCAGTTGGGAGTGGTGGAAGAGCTGGTGCTTTGGGGCCAGACAGGCCTGGATGGATCCTGCCTCTGCCCCTTCCCAGCCATGTGGCCCCACAGGTCACTCTGAGTCTGAGGCTCCTCATCTTAAAGTGTGGGTGCTTGGAAGGCTGGGAGGCGACGGTGTGTAAGCGCCTCTTGGCACAGGGCACGTCAGTGACCCTCCCTCCCCACACTGCAGCAGGAGGATTTGGGTTAGACTTGGGTCAGGCGTGCCTCCAGGAGTTGCCCTGCCTGGAGGCCGGAGAGGGGGTGAGGTGACCCCGAGGGCTGCCTTTCAGCCTCAGTGGGCCCTTGCGGGTTCACCCCTGGTAGCGCGCGGCACCAGCTGTGGAGCAGTCCCTGGCCCTGTGTGAACTGCCTCACCGAGGCGGAAGGGTCTCGTCCCCACTGCGGCACGCCCTCGGCTGAGCCCTCCCCACGCAGACTGGGCTCGCCTCACCTACCTCTCCAGGGCGGTGGGGGCCCGTGGGAAGTGCAGCTCATTTTCCAAAACCAAATGAACCCTCTGCTCCCAGGACACCTGCTGGAAGGTCGCAGGCTTAACTGACAGTCCTGCTCCCAGAAATATGGCCTCACCCTACCGCCCTTTCTTCATTCCTCCCAGGGCCTGAGCTGTGTGGCCACGTTTGGGGGTTGGGGATGCAGACAGGCATGTGTCAGCCATCTTGTGTGCCACCGTGGAGGACAAGACCCCTTGGGCCTGCTGACCTCAAACCTCTCAGGCTGCCACGGGCATGCAGGTGGGGTGGGGGGAGGAAGCAGGGCTCATGGGCTGTGGAGGCGCTATTCAGAAAGGGGCGGGGTGGTCCAGGAAGGCTTCCTGGAGGAGAGGACAGCTGAAATGAGCAGGAAGCGACGAGTCTGGGGCACTCACGGCGGGGCACTCATGGCCAGGCCGTGCCTCTACCCTAAGTGGGCTCCCGGCATCCACTGCCTCTCTCAAAGCACCCTGTCTCGTTCCAGCCAGCTTGAGCCCCAGGGCTACCTCTCCCTGCCACATCTGGGTCAGGGTCCTCACGGGCTGCTTCCCTCTGCAGGACTGGCCGTTTGACGACGGGGCGCCCCCACCTGGCAAGGTCGTGGAGGACTGGCTGAGCCTGCTGAAGGCCAAGTTCTGCGAGGACCCTGGCAGCTGCGTGGCCGTGCACTGCGTGGCGGGCCTGGGACGGTGAGCTGTGGGCTGGGCTCGCCACATCAGGCGCTGCTGCTGCGAGCTCAGCTTGAGGTTGGGTGTCTGGTGGTCTGACCTTCTCGCTTTTGGATGTGGGTCCGGAGCACACATCCCCGTGACCTTCCCAGAAGCCCATGCATGATGGCTCCCAGACAAGTCCTTTAACATCCTCACAGGAGGAAGTCCTTCCTCAGGTCTAACCCAGCCCCCCTCCTGCTGTGGTTCAAACTGTCCCTGTACCTCGTGCAGGAAAGGAGCTGCTGCTCCCCCTCCCCAGACACAAGGACACCCCCAGGGCCTTGGACCCCTGTAGCAGGAGGAAGGGCAGCCTGGATTTGACTGAAATGACCCAGGGAGTGGGACCCCACCCCCCATTTGCAGGGGGAGGACCAGCCAGCGGGTTGATGGCAGTGTGTCTCAAGTTCTTATCCTAGGCCAGACCCGAGCTAAATGCTTTACCTGTGCTCCCTTGTTTACCCATCTTGCCAACAAATTTTACATGTGAAGGGTCCAAGGCACAGAGAGGTTGCCCGAACCACCGGAGGTTGCACAGTAGGGACAGGAGGGATCTGGGATTTGGGCCCAGGCAGCCTGATTGGCTCCAAGCCAGTGCCCCTATCGGGGAGCTTAGGGCAGTGGGCCCCCTGTGCCCCCATGCCCTGCGTCTTCCACAGGTGGCCTGGCAGGGGGACAGGGCATGTGGGCTCAGATGACCCCAGCCCAACCGTCTTGTCCCCAGGGCTCCGGTCCTCGTGGCGCTGGCCCTCATCGAGAGCGGGATGAAGTACGAGGACGCCATCCAGTTCATCCGACAGTGAGTGCCTGGCGGGGGAGGGCAGGCTGTGATCCCCGTGTCCAGGTGAGAGGTCCTGGCGCCCAGGGCCTGTGCTCGCTGTATACCGCTCCAGCACCCTGCGGCGTTTGCTGGGTGGTGCCCTCAGCCGAGGCTGCATCAGTCAGGACAGGCTGGGCTGAGCTGCGGAAACAGGCAGCCCCAGAGTCTTTGAACAGGGAGGCAGAGGACAGGAGCCGTGGTGACAGCACTGCAGCGGGTGCTGCTCTGCTAACTGCCACAGAGGGCCGCTTGCCGAGTGTGTCCTTCCTGCCCTCACAGACACAAGCTCCTTAGGCCCCCGCCATCCTGCCGTGGGGGTGGGACTCACTTCGCTGTTCAAGGAGGAAGGACCTGTGGAAGCCATCCAGCCCAGCCCCTTGGTGTAAACCAAGACCCTGAAAAATCCCACAGTGCCGTGCCCACCGCAGGGCGAGTACGCGGGCTGGTGTCTCTCGGAGCTGCCCCAGAGTCCTGCTGCTTCTGCCCTACCCTCTAGAGGTTTCAAGGCTCGCTCTCCCCTCTGCGTGGCTGGGTGGCCTCCCTGGGGAGGGCTCCCCTCTGCCCACTGCTCCCAGGAAAAAGGGTCCTGGGGCAGGCCGCAGGCACACTGACGCTGCACACCTGAGGCCTGCCCCAGCCCAGCTGCTGCATGCGCACGCACGTGTGTGTAACACTCCTGCTCTTGTGCTGCTCCTGAGATGGCCTTGGCCAGGCACAGCCAGCTCTTCACTCCCGAGGCAGCTTGTTACCAGCCATGCTGGCCCGCCCCGTGTGTCCACGTGAGAGGGCGTGCCTGCAGGCGCTCAGGTCTCCTGGGGGAACCCAGGTGCACACGCATCTGCACTCACCCATGGACACGTGCACACACACAGGTGGCTGTGTGCACGTACGAATGCATGGACACAGACACAGGTGCGCACACACAGGTGGTGCACACATGCACATTCAGTTGTGCACATATACATGCTCACACACGCCAGCACACACACGCACACACAAGCACAGATGTGAACGCCCTTCACTCTCTTTCTCCCAGTGCACCTTGGTGTGGCTCTGGGGAGGGCTGGCTGCCAGGTCTTCACCGTGGCTCTCCCGCCCCACGCCTGGCTAAGCCTCCGTGGCTTCGGCTGCATGGCTCCCTCTGCTCCAAGATGCATCGGTCAGGGCAGGCTGGGCCGTGCAGCAGAAACAGGCGGGCACAAGCCCTGGTGACTCACAACACTGATTGTTTCTTGCTCACATTGTGTGCCTGACATGGTTAGTGGGGACTCTACGCAGGGAACCAGCTGAGGCCAGAGTGCATGGTCACACCTGAGGTCATGGGTAGGTGGGGACGGATGAGCCTCCAGAAGTGCTAGGCCCCCACTTGCCCTGTCGCCTCAGGGTCTCTCAGGCTCCTCTGCAGTGTCACCTCCTCCAGGAAGCATCTCCTGTTCCCCGGGCCAGGTACATGTGTGAAGCTGAGGTGGCAGGAACAGTGTGACCTCACAGGCCAGGTTCCTGCTGTCTTGGAGCTGGAAGCAGCGCGCTGCCGCAAGGACCCCACTGGCCCCACTGCCCTGCGCCAGGCTCTGTGCTTACCATCAGTCCTTCCGTCCCCCTGTGTCCTACCACCACAATCCCATTTCAAGATGAGGAACCTGAAGCTCAGGGAGGGAGTGGGACTTGGCCAGGGTGGCAGAGCTGGGAGGGTCAAGGCAGGACTCTGGCTCCTGAGTTCTGTGCACAGCCCTCCCTTGCTTGCAGCCCCCGCCTGTCCCCTGATGGTGGAAGTGCCCAGGCCCCACCCTTGGTACCCTCTTGGACCTCATGGCCTGTGGGTGGGGCGTACCCAGCTGGGGAGCCCGGGGAAGTCAGCCTGAAGGAGGTGACACCTAGGTGAATTTGGAAGTCAAGCAGGGGTGAGCCGCAGGTGACCAGTGACTGCAGGGAAGGGGACTCTGGCAGAGGGAACAGCCGGGCAAAGACCCCAAGGGAGGAGGCACTCTGCTGGCCACAAGGACCTGTACCCCCCACTGCACTCTGCCTCGAGCTCCTGGCCCGGGTGAGGTTGGCCAGCTAGGCCAGGTGATCCCATCCCTGTCCCCATCTTCCCAGGAAGCGTCGCGGAGCCATCAACAGCAAACAGCTCACCTACCTGGAGAAATACCGGCCTAAACAGAGACTGCGGTTCAAAGACCCACACACGCACAAGACCAAATGCTGCGTCATGTAGCTCAGGACCATGGCCAGGCCTGGGGCCTGTGGTGGCCCCGCCCTGCCCTGGCCCGCCCCTAGGGGCTCCGTGCCTTGGCCGGCCCCCATCTGGCCTTCCCTTCCCGCCCGGCACTTGTGACGGAGGAGTCCGACCGGCCCACCGGCCGTGTGCCCCCTTGCTGGTCTCTTCCACCTGCCCCTCCCGCGTCTGTCTCTGCCCCTGGTCCTGCGTGTCTGAGCCCAGTCGGGCCCCCTCTTCCCTGGCCTCCTGCCAGTATGCTCGATGCCACCCCGGCAGGGCTCCTCTCTGGCCTGTTTATTGCAGGGTAGGGGTGTGTTTTTTAACCACTGGGCCCAGCCCCTCCCCTACTGCCCGCCCCCGGACCTGTTCTCGGCACCTTGTTACCAGATCCCGGGCAGTCAGGTGTTCCGGACACTCTAAGGCAATAAAAAAGGAGCCGTGTCTGTGTGTGGAGTGTGGTGTGGGTGTGGGTGGGGTGGACGGCGGCCTTGGGGCAGGCGGGGGGAGGCTGCTGTCCCAAGAACCTGCTGTCCCTGCGCTGGGGCTCCCATGGCGCCCCCTGGTGGCCCCGCCGGGCCCCACACCCCTGACTGCTGCAACGTCTCTGGACTGAGTTGCGGGTCACGGTTTTTGGGGTTGGGGCAGCACTAGAAGGCGAGGCTGGGTCACCAGACTTGCCCTCTGCAGGACCAGCGGGGCTCGCTGGGTACATCTTCAGGGCCTTGTGTCCGGTGGGGTGGCCTCATTTCAGTCTCAGAGGCCCAGAGAAGGGAGCCGGTGGTGGTGGATGATTTCGGGCACTGGCTGCTGAGGCTTAGGGTGGAGGGATGCACCATCTCATCACCTCGGGGAGGAAGGGCACACGGGGGTTCCTGGGGCTGGGTCTGAGTGTGCGGAGAGGCCCCAGGGGAGGGGCCTGCCAGAGGCCATGGACTGTGAAGCTCATGTGCCTGTGTACGAAGGTTTCTTCCTGGGGGACCAGGCCCTGCCCTGGGCTGAGAAAAGAGGTACGATGAGGATGGGGCCACGCCTGGGAGGAGGGTGGCCCAGGGCTGGCCTGGCTGGCTGTGTGGAGGCTGGTGAGTGGTCTCTGCCCCAGGCCCGCCCCCAGGCACTGTCACCACCTGGGGACACCACCCAGAGGCCTTACTGGCCCCTTCTCTGAGTCACTGCCCCAGCCAGGTGCTTCAGTCCCAGACCAGGGGCCCAGGCTGCCCCCCACCTGGCCGCCCACCCTCTGTGCCCCTTCTACCTGCCCTAGGGGAGGGCCTCTCACCCATCCCCCGAGAAATCATTTTCCTCCTTTCCCTGGTGAGGAAATAGGCCAGGGCGAGCCCTGTGCCCAGGTGGCAAGACACCTTGCCAGGGGCTTGTTTCCCACAAACCATCTGCCCATCGCCAGGGCCGTCCTGTCCACTCTTGCAGCAGGGGCCTGGGGTGGCCAGGTGGGCTGCGCCTTCCTGGGGTCCTGGGATGGTGGCTGCAGGGGACACAGGCTCTGTCCCGCCATCCCTGCCTGGCATTGGACTGCTGTTAGCACTGGTGTCTCCGATGGGACACCTACTGTCCACCAGGCCCTGAGAGGCTGCTCGCCCTGCAGCAGCCCTGCCCGGTAGGAATTAGGCCCCTCCCCATCTCCAGTGAGTCCGAGCGGCTTGTCCAAAGTCAGTGTCGGCTCCAGGAATCCATCGAGCTTGGGTCCCCCAGCTCCGTGCTCTTGCTAAGAGAGACTTTCCAGAAGGGGGGATGAGCTGGATGATGGGCCAGCCGGACACTGCTCACAGGTGCCGGGTAGGCAGGCGGAACCAGCAAGCCGACTCCCGGGCGGACCGCATCCCTGCCCGGGACACAGCTCTGGCACCTCCTGCTCCCCCAGTGTCCAGCCAGGGGCTTCAAGTGAGGAGGAGCCGGTGGCAGGTGACCGAGGAGGTCAGTGGACAGGATGGGTGAATGCAAAAAGGCAGAACCTCCTGAAAGCCCGTTGTCAGGCGGCCCCGCCTCAGAGACGGACGATGGATGAGAGGGCCCAGACCTGCCGCCTTGGCTCCTGTGCGGAGCGGGGCTGCCAGCTCCACCCACGGTCGTTTTCCCCTTTCCTCAGACAAGTCTGGAACTCATAACTCTGTGTTTGGTGAAGGTCGCTGTATTTTTCAATCCACCATCCAAGGTTTGTGCAGCGCAGCCCTGCCCCGAGGGGCTCACGGGCTAGCGGTCCGCTCTTGAGAGGAGGGTGTGCTCCGCCTTGGGAGGGGGAGTTGAGGAGGGGCTGGGCTGGGGGACACTGGAGCTGGGCATTGGGGGTGAGCAGTGTGAGAGGTCGGGGAGGACTTCCCGGGGAAGGAGCTGCCCCAGCCAAGGTGTGGATGAGGGTCAGTGTGGTCGAAGGAGGGAAGGGTGTGGCGGGCTCCGGGGTGTCCTGCTGGAGGGGCGCTGGCTGGCCTGGCTGGGGTCTGGAGAAAGACACAGCCCGGGGTGAGGCCCCAGGAAGAGCTCCGTGGGGAGGGTCTCTCCAGGTGCTCCCTGGACCCACAGGCAAGGGAAGGGCTCATCTGCCTGTTTCACATGTGGGAAAACCCAGGCTGAAGGGGAAGGACCTGGCTGAAGGTTGGACAGGTCCCCAGGTGGCTCTCTGGGAGTTGAGGGGGTGCCTCCTCTAGATTTAGACTTCTAAGGGGTCTTAAAGATGGAACAACCGAGGCTCAGAGAGCCAAGACCCCTGCCTCAGACCACACAGGGTGGGCCAGCCCTGACTGGACTAAGCAGGATGGAGGGATGGAGGGAGACAGTGGGGTCCCCGGGCTGAGGGTGCCCTTCCCCACTGCTAGCCCGTCAGTCACGGTGGCGCTCCAAGCTGGAGACAAACTGCAGACCGCATGAGCAGCTTGGCGAATGCTCCGGGGCGGAGGCTGCCCTTGCAGCGCCCTGCCAGCGAGGGCTCAGGTCATGCTGACCAAGTTGATCCCATCTCTGTCCCTGGGCCTGACCCTGCCCCCGTCCCCGAGTCCTACCAGTGCTTCCTGGGGCTTAGCTTGGTCACAGCAGAGGGGCCCATGGGATGGTGGGCAGGGAGCTGACAGGTGTAACGCTTCTTTGTTGAATCTAGATTTTTCTTTTAAATGGAAAAATGTTATGCAGCCAAACTCTGTGTGGGTGGATGGGGCAGGGCTGACTGACCAGGTGAGAGGGAAGGAGGAGAGGGCGGGGGAGGACGGCTGGAAGTCACTGCTGGGGTCTGGCCAACACCTCTGGAAGGAAGGAGAGCTGCCTGGTGGCGAATTCCCGGATGCAAGGCTCTGGGTCTTTCTTGAGATCTTCAAAAGCTCCAGGAAAGGAGGGACCAGTCAGGGGACCCCAGCCTGGCCTGGGTAGGTGGTGGGAGGTGGGCAGGGTGGCGCCCTGACCCCACCTCTGACTCCAAGCCTGGGACAATTCCCTTCCCTTACCGTCCCCAGCCATTCCCGGCCCCTTATTTTATTGGAGCCCCCAGCAGCTGTGGAGTGGTGTGAGCCCTCTCCCAGGTGTCCTGATGGGGCCTGGGGAAGGGCTGGAGAAGCCCCTCCTCCTCTGGGGCCTCAGTCTTGCCATCTGCGGAATAGGTTTTAGAGCACTAGAGCTGGGGTGGGAGGGTGTGGGCAGGGGGAGGGTTTTGCAGGGTAGGGGGCTGCTTACTGCGGAGCAGCAGGTTGGTGTCAACATTGTTCACCATCTGGGACACAGCCTGGGGGTGGTGGCAGATGGTATAACCTGTGCAACAGATGGAGGAGCAGCTGGCCAGTGGGTCGGGGCTCCCTCTCTCCTTGGGGGCTCAGCCCCATCCCTACCCCTCCTCAGCCCCAAGGGCTCCCTCAACCCCCGTCCTTTCTTCTCCTGCCAGTGGGTGGGTCGGGGTGGGTGAGGGTCAGGAGTGCTCAGGAGGAGGCAGGCCTGGGGGTCTCTGAGCCGGGCCTGCCCTCTCCCACCTATGAAGAGTGCAGCCCACATCTTGATGTGGTGGTGGTGGCTGTGCAGGTAGCTGATGGCCTGTGACAAGTGGATGCTGAACTCCTCCTGGCTGTGGGTCATCTGGCCAGAGGAGGACACACCCATCACTGGCTGGGGCCGGGGGGCTGGCCTTGGAGGGACCACTGACCTGCAGCCCTGCCCTGGCCTCCCCCAGCCCTGGGTGTGTTCAAAATGAGTGAATGGGGAGCAGCCAGCCTGGCCTGCCACTCCTGTCCTGCCTCTTGTCCCACCACAGCCCAGTGTCCCCTCGCCTGGGCCCTCACCAGGCAGGTCCAGAGGAAGTGGCGGGCGCTGAGGCCCCTCTCCCAGGCCAGTGTGCAGAAGAGGGTGTGCCGTAGCTGCCAGCGCAGCAGCATGGCGCAGCGGTAGAAGGCGAACTTGGCCTGCTGCGGGGACAGCCACGGGAGGGGGTCACCCACCACCCCATGTCTCCGAGGCCCATCCCCTAGAGACCATGAGGCTTTGGTGGGCATCGGAGGCAGCTTGCTGTGCCAGTGTTCCCTGTCTCCTTCCCGCCGCACCCCTTGGGGACACCTCCCTGCCACCCTGGCTGCCTTGGGTTGGACTACACACAGCTCTCTGTTCCTTTGGAACTGGCTGCTACTTGTCTGTCTTCCTGATGGCAGGGAGCTGAGCTGTGTCTAGTGGTGGCTGCAAGGGCTGGTGCTGGCACATGGCAGGTGGGACTCAATCCATATTCAACAAGTTCAGTGAACAGCCTGAGCCCCCACCACGTGCCCGGGTCTGCCACACAGCAGTGAGCAGAATAGATCAGGTCCTGCCCACACAGACAGTACAGCCTTGCTGTGTATGTGTGTGTACATGTGTGTACACGTGTGTGTGTGCGTGCACAGGGAGGGAGCAGACTGTGGTCAGGGAAAGGGTGCTGGTGGCCAGACCCTCTGCCTGCCCACCTGCTGCCCATGGTGCACCCCTCACGCTCAGGTGGCCCTACTGCCATCTGCCTACCCAGTCCCTGGCCACCTGTGGGCCCCAGCCCTGGCCAAGGCGAAGGCCTGCCAGCCTGTCTTGCCTGCAGGTGGGCACTGACCGTGGCGACAGCTGGGCATTGGTCCTTCAGGTGCAGGAGCAAGGGCACCATGCTCTGGTGCACCTGGGTGCGCAGGCTGCTCAGCTCCCCGTCTGCCATCGCTGCCACCAGGGCTCCAAACAGTGCCATGGCTGCCGCCCGAATCTTGTCCCGTTCCTGCAAGGCAAGGGCTCAGGGCCACAGGCAGACGTGCTTAGGGGTTTGGCCCAGCTGTCACCCAGCTTGGGACCCCGCACCTCATGGCGGGGCTTGGGGGTCCCAGGGCAGGGCCTCCCCTCCCCTCAGTCGGAGCTGGCAGGGCCAGGTTCCGGCCTCCTCAAGGACACGGCATAGTTTGTCTCATACCCACAATCACATCCTGACACCCAAGTGCCAAGAGTGCAGCTGCGGGGTGGACTTATCCCCCTAATTTCCCAGTGAAGGGAAAACACGATGACATGTCATAAAGTTAAGAAATCTGGGCAGTCAGTTGTAGGACTGGTGAGGCTGGGGACAGTGAACGCTGACACTAGTTCACCCCGTGGAGGAGGGGCAGAGGCCCCTGGTGACACTGGGCGTACTGGGTCCACCTCTGCCCGGGTGCACACTCAGGCACTGGTGGGCCTCGGCCTCCCGGCAGTAGCTGGAAGGCGGTGGGGGTTGGGAGGCTCCCCACAGGCTGGAGGAAGGGGGCGCGCATGGGGGACGCAGGGACGGTGCGAGCAGGAAGGCCCCCGGCGCGCTCACGTCATCGAAGAATGAGCGGGCGTTGATGGCGACGCCGAGGCTCTGGGCACCTGCGCCTTGCCAGCCCAGGCGGTGCAGCACGTCTGACACGGTGTTCATGATGCGCACAACCACTGTCTCATCGTTCTGGAAAAATCCTTCGAAGAAGAACAGCAGCTGCCTGCGGAGCAGGTTTCCCTGGGGGCGGTGGGAGGCGGGGTGGTGGGCGGAGGCACCAGGCCCCACTGCCCCTGTCCTGGCCCCCATGTGCCAGGGGCCTGCCGGGGGTGACCTGGAGCTGTGCATCTGGCGGGCTCTGCCCACCATGGGGCGCTGTGCTCCCCCAGGAGCCCCGTGGCCTGCACAGGCTTCCCCTCTCTGAGCCCTCTGGGGTCTTCCTGGGGTTGAGACAGAAAGATGGGTGCACAAGAGACCACAATACTAGTTGGGTCCCAGTTCCCTCCTTCACCGAGTCCTGGGCCACCCTTCCCTTTCTCCACCCGACCCTGCCCTGCCCTAGTCCCACCTTGGCCACGGGTCAGGTGGAGTCTGGGGAAGGGACCAGACAAAGTTGGTCGAATAGCCCATACTGAAGTCACTGGTTTCTCCCATGGCAGGGATTTTGTGTGCACCAGGTGATGGCTCCAGACCTTTTATGTTGCAAATGACCATTATGTTCCATTTTTACACTTTGCTTCTTTTTTTTTTAAAAAAATTTGAATTCATTTCCAGCCAATTCTGTCTGCTCCACTTGTTGGCAGTGTATGCCTGAATTTGCTAGATGAATTGTCAGAAAGCAGTGTGTTGGCAAATGAATGTTTCCTGCCGTCGGGCCCTTTATCCATGCCTTGTATGCAGACCTGGGTGATTTTTTACAACTTTTAAACAAGTTTAAAGCAATTTTATTGGCTTCCTAAGCTCTGTTTGGTTTTAAAATACTAAATTCATTTTCAGCAAGTGAGTCATTCAATAGCAACACACACTTTCTGAGCATATATGGGGGCAGCCAGTATGCTAGGACTGGGGTTTTGCCCAGGGACAAGACAGGCAGAACAGAATTCTAGTCGAAGGGGATGGAAAAGGACCTAAAAAGGCACAATATGGTGTGCGTCTGTTCAGGTGGAGCAGGCTGTCTGCTCCGGCCCTGCCTGGTATAGCCTGTCCGCCCCATACCAGCAGGCCTCCAGGACTGGTCGTGCTCTTGGCTCTATTTCCTCTGGCTTGCTGACCAAGGAACTGTATGCCCTTCCCCAGACCCGGCCCTCCTGGTCTAGCAGAGCCCTTGTCAGCCTTTGCCGTTTCCCACAGAGCCCTACTCAGGGCAGGGGACAGAGGAGGCTCATGGAAACTGCCTAGATCATCTCCTTGCCTGGGACAATAGCTGGAGGAAGATGTAGAGATAACTGACCACTGAATGAATGAAGGAGGGAGCTAACGTGAATAACTGGTTAACTGAATGAATGAATAAATTATAAAGAATAAAAAAAATAATGAAAGAATGATTCGAAGGACCCAAGTAACAAGTGGATGGGTGAAGGGATGGATGGGGCAGTGGATGGTTGGATGGGTGGATGCGTGGAGGGTTGAATGGGGGAGTGGATGGATGGATGGGTGGAGGGTTGAATGGGGGAGTGGATGGCTGGATTGGTGGAGGGATGGGGGGTTGGATGGGTGAAGGGATGGATGGGGCAGTGGATGGTTGGATGGGTGGATGCGTGGAGGGTTGAATGGGGGAGTGGATGGATGGATGGGTGGAGGGTTGAATGGGGGAGTGGATGGCTGGATTGGTGGAGGGATGGGGGGTAGATGGGTGAATGGGTGGAGGGATGTATGGGGAGTGGATGGGTGGATGGGTTGAAGGATGGATGGGTGGATGGATGGGTAGATGGATGGGGCTGGATGAGTGGATGGGTGGAGGGTTGAATGAGGGAGTGGATGGTTGGATGGGTGGATGGGTGGAGGGTTGAATGGGGGAGTGGATGGGTGGAGGGATGGGGGGTAGATGGGTGAATGGGTGGAGGGATGGATGGGGTGGTGGATGGGTGGATGGGTTGAAGGATGGATGGGTGGATGGGTAGATGGATGAGGCTGGATGGGTGGATGAGTGGATGGGTGGAGAGATGGATGAGGGGGTGGATGGGTGGATGAATAGATGGATGGACAGATCAATGAGAAAGTGGTATCTAGCGTCCATCTCCCGTGATTAAGCACCTACGATACATCACGTGTATTGCAAAGGGTTTTGCTGGCCGTGGCCCTAATGGAGCTCTCCTTTTAACCATTTGGAGACCTGTGAGTCAAACAGAATTGGCATAAACTAGGCTGATGGGCAAATGGCTTTTGGATTTCTTTGGAAACTGTCCCTTCTGTGGCCTTCCTATGATCACACTTTGCCCCACAAGCCTGGAAAACCTTTATAATAGCCTCCTCCAACAGCAAGAGAATGGGGACTGAGCATGTCACCTTCCCCTGGGGTCTTAAAGCAGCCCCTGGGGTGGATGAGAGGAGCTGAAGGTGCCACACTTCCTGATCCAGTGAGAAAATCTGTCTCTCACTTGGCCTTTTATTGTGGAGTTAGCCCCTGGCAAGACCCACCAGGTGCCGGGCATGAAAGATTGTCGCTGCTGCTGCTGTGCGTGAGCAAACAGTTGGAGGGGTGGCCGTGTTCTGGGGACTGGCTGTAGCACAGCACCCATGACCTGCCTACCACAAGGCTGGCACTACCTACTCCCATTTCATAGATATGCACCCTGAGGCCCAGAGAGCTGGAAAACCTGCCAGCTAGAAGGTGCCAGAGTGGGGACTGGTCCAGGCCTGAACTCCTGACCATTGCACGGGGCCCCAGAGCCCTCAGCAAGGGCCATGTCCAAAATTCTATGGACTGAATTGGAGCTGTGGATGGTCTAAGGCCAGATCCCCCAAAGGCAACATCACAGGCCTTCTCCCCCAGCTGTTCATTATGGGATGTGGGTTGTTATGGTGATGGGGTGGAATTGGTTGGGAATGGAGAGGTAAGTCAACAACGGCTTGTTGGGGAGGGGCCTGTCCATAGGATTCTCAGAAGACGTTCTCTCTGGGCCAGGCTTGGGAGCCACCCGGCCGGCTCCACAGTGGCACCTGGAAGTCTGTAGTAGGATTTGTCTCTCTCCTGGGTGTGGAGGAGACTCTGTCCTCAGGGAATAGAAACTTCCATCCCTCCCATAACCTGCTCCATTCTATAGATGAGGAAACTTAGGCTCAGAGAAATGGAGTCAGTGTCCCAATCCACATTACTGGAAGTAGTGACAGAGCTGGGATTCCAGCCCAGAGGGTCTTGTCCACACCTGCTGCACCTGGCTGCTCTGTTGGGTGGGGTGTGTGCCAGCCACAGATCCCCTGCGGCTCTTACCTTCTCTGGATGGAAGAGGATGTTCCCCAGGCCCTGTAGGCTCAACACGCGGACCTCGGGGCTGGGGTCTCTGAGGCCTTGCCCCAGCACAGTCAGGGCAGCCTGTCTGGGGAGGACCTCCAGCAGGGCAGGGCTGTAGAGGAACTGGGAGGAAGGCAGGCCGTTAAGTTCAGCACCCTTTTCTGGGGAGCCTGTATCTGTGTCGAGGGGTGGGGCTCCAGGACCAGGGTCTGGGTAAGGGTTTGGGGAGGGTGGTTGCCCAGCACCCTCTGGATATCTTGGTTAACAGGCATTTGAAACCTACCTGGTTCAACCCTTCAGTGTACATCTGGGGAAACTGAGGCCCAGAAAGAGGATGGGCCTTGCCGAAGATCACACAGCAAGGCTGGGGCCAACGTATGTCAACAGCCTGGCTCATGAGGATACAGACCAGGCAGCCCACTAGAGGGTGGGAACCGGCATGAGGCTTTGACTTGGGTTCCCCTGACTGGTCAGTTTGGAAAGGACACACCCTGCCTCCAGCCCTGCCGCTGCCAAGAGCTTGGAGTTGCAAAGCTGGCCACACCCTAGCGGATCGGGCTCTGACCATCCCCTTCCTGCTGCTCTGCGATCACACAGGGGCAGGATAGGGCTAAAGTTCAAGGCTGGGTCTGACTGAGTCCACGGTGCCCCTTCAGCTCTGCAGAGGTCATGCAGCGAGAGAGGAGGGAGCGGAGACACAGGTCCCCCAAGGCTGCAGGCTGAGGGGGGCCTAGAAGTGGGGGACAAGCCAGGAGCCCCAGACTGCGGACACCCTGCAGAGCCGGCAGCGGGAAGGCGGGGCTGTGAGGGGTCTGCCTGGGCGGCCCCCACCCCCCTCAGGTGAGGTCAGCTGTGGGTTCAGGCTGGAGGATGGTGACTCAGGCCCACCTGCAGCCCTACCTCAGTGAGGATGAGCATGGCCACCTTCCTCTCCCGCTCCTGATGGCTCTTCTGCAGGTGGGACAGCAGCTGGCTGAGCACTGCCTTGATCTGCCTGCAGTGGTTCTGCACCATGGCCCTGGAGGACAGGGCCTGGGCTTGTGGTCACTGCCCTGAACCCACCCCTCTGCCACCACCCAACTGAGGGGGCTGAGTGGCCAGGAGTGTCCTGATGTGGGTGGGCAATTCTTTGAGCCTGTTCCTGTGCCCCTTGGCACTTCGTGCCAGGCCTGCACTGGACATGGGGGAGACAGAGGGCACAGGTACAGCCCTTGTCCCCGGGAGGTCCAGGCCAGGCTGGGGACTGGGGGAAGGCACCTGCATCCACAGGCTCTGAGGCAGTGTGCCTGTGCCCGGGCACAGGGGGCAAGTGCCTTCCCGTGCCAGAAGGCCGCTATGTGCATTCGTGAGTCTGAAGGGTCAAGCTCACAGGCAGGTCTTAGGGGCTGCAAGTGGCTCCAGAGGCCCCAGGCCCTACCACCACGGTCCATACACCAGCCCCCCAAGATCCCCCCACCTGCTCTCAGTCTACCCATACCTGGCGAGGAGGCCCACCCCCTTCTGGTAGGTGTGGATGGTGGTGAAGAGCTCCCAGGCCCCCTGCAGCTCCAGATGGGCAAAATCATGCCAGTGCCCCGTGGTGGACAGCAGGCTCTTCAGTGCCTCCAGTGATGTGCTGCGGCCAAGCAGAGGGGGCTCAGGGCCCGCCCAGGGCCACGAGTGGCCACCTGGGCCCCCTGGTCCTTGGGAAGGACACCCAGTGCCCCAGATAGAAAGGCGCCTTCTGGCTCCTGCCCTCGCTCCAGTGCCTGATGTCCCGAGGTCTCCCTGGGGCCGGCTCATCCCTGCCCTCGTTCAACATGGGATATTGGAGCCCAGGATGTGGGCGTTGCTGTCCTGGGCATGGGGAGGCCTTACTTGGGCAAGAGACCACGAGGGTGCCCTACCAGGGAGGGGAGGGACCAGGTGTCGTGGAGAGGCTCGCTGTGGGTGTGGCACATAGTGAGTGGGAGGTGCCTTTGGAGCATCTTAGAGGAGACAACACTTGCACCAAGGCTGGATTTACATGGCTGGAGCTCGGAAGACAGGACTGGAGGGAGAGCTGTGGAGCTCTCTGGGAACTGGGGGTCTCCCAAGTCATTAGGTGGAGAGGGTCAGGCTGGGCCTCGAGGGATGATTCTTAAATAAGGGCGAGGAATGCAGAGGGGGCGCCTGGGGAGGGAGGAGGAGCCGGGGGTGTATGGCATTGAGGAAGCCCAGAGAAGGGTCCATATGGCACTCTTGGGACAGGCCCCCCTGTTCTCAGAGGACACGGAGTAACCCTGTTGCACTGGCCATGCACGTGTGCGATGGAGAAAGAACACCGAAGATGGCGCATGGCTTAGCTGTGTGAGGTGCTCACTTGCCCCATCTCAGGTGGCTCTCTATTGCCACTCCACTGCCACAGAGGAGGGAGCAGTCTAGGGAGGGGACATGTCCTGTCACACAGCCTGGTCAAAGGCACAGAAGTGGGGTCAAGCTGGGCCCTGGCTCCAAACCGAAACATCAATGTCACTGTCACAGGTATGGGGCTGCCCCAAGCACTGAGCACAGTCCTGGGACACAGGTAGAAAGCCTGAGAATACAGGCCTGGGAAATGCAGGGCCACCCTGGCTTGCTGGCCTGTCACCGTTCCAGCCTCCCCTTGCCTGGTTGCTGTGGGCGCATTGCCCTGGATGTGTGAGCGTGCCCTGGAACGAGGCTGTCAGCTTGGACCAGGCAAGCGGATTTGCAAAACTGAGTGTCAAGAGATGAAATGCCATTTTGTGAAAGTCCCTGATGGTGCCCATCCAAACGCCAGCTGGCTTGTCCTCCCACCCCGAGCTGTGCCATAAAAAAAGGCAGCATTTTCCAGGTCACTGGCCTTAGCCACAAAGTGATGATGGTTTTCAGGAGAAGAGAACTTGAGGGGCGCAGCATTTTGCCCACTCTGGTCCTGCGGCCCCAAGATTCCTTGCCCTTCATGATTGTCTTGTCCCTGCAGCCACAGCAGGGCTCTGGAAAGATAACATTCAGCTGATTTGAGCATTCTTGAGACTCCCCTGTCCAACTCCTGGGGTGAACCACACCCCCGCAGGTCCCTAACACCTAAAACCACCCCCAGCGCAGGACCCCTGGGCAATGCCCAGGGACATGTGTCTCCTGAAATCCACACGCAGCCCCGAGACCAATGCAGGTGGAGCTCCTCAGGTCCACGCCCAGCGGTGGCAGGACCATCATCCTGGGCCCAAGGTCTTGCCCTTCCTTCAGCCTCTTTGGACACTCTGCATCCCAGTGATGCTGCCCTATACTCAACCAACCCCCTGTCCCCAGCCTGGCCCTGGAGAGGGCAAAGTCTCCTGAGAAAGAGACAGGGAAGCCCATTTGCTCCCTGAGACTGGTCAGACCCCAGCCTCCCACCTCTCCAATCCTCCTCCCCACCCTGCCACTCTCTCCTCCTCTTCTTACTGTTTTACTTTCATTTTTAACTATGGTAAAATACACATCTCCTACAGGTGACCATTTTAAGTGTACAGTTCATTGGCATTGAGCACATTCATAATACTAAGCAAACATCACTACCATCCCTCTCCACAACTATTTTGTCTTCCTAAGCTGAACCTCCTTAAACACTAACCCCCATTCTCTCCTCCCCCAGCCCCTGGCACCCCCCATTCTATTATACTTTCTGTCTCTATGAATTTGACTGCTCTAGAGCCCTCATATAAATGGAATCATACAGTCTTTGCTCTTTTGTGACTGGCTAATTCCACTTGTCATGTCCCCCAGGTTCCCCCATGTTGTAGCATGTGTCAGAATTTCCTTGCTCTTTAAGGCTGAGTAATGTTCCATTGTATGTACACACTGCATTTTGTTCATCCATTCACTGGTGGGCACTTGGGCTGTCTCCACCTTTTGGCTACTGTGAATAATGCTGCTATGGACATGGGTGTGCAAATACCTGTTCCAGGTGTCTGCTTTCAATTCTTTTGAGTATAAGTCCAGAAGTGGAATTATTGGGTCATATGGTAATTCCATATTTAATTATTTTAGGGACCTCCGTACTGTCTTCCACAGTAGCTGCACCATTTTACATTCCCACTAGCAGTGCACAAGGGCTCAAGTTTCTCCGCATCCTCGCCAACATTTGTTATTTTCCCTTTTTTTGATAGTCACCCTCCTAATGGGTGACCCTCCTCCTCTTTCTATCACAAGCCTTTGCCCCTTGGCCTGGGGACAGAGGGGACTGAAGACGACCTGAGGGTGAGCGTGAGGAGCGCCTTTGAAATAAAGGGAAATGAGGTACCGCAGGAGAATTACAGAGTGTCATCCCAGAATGGATGAAGTGAGAGAACAAGAAGTCCTTTGCGGGACAGGATGGAGATTGGTTGGAGGAAGACCCAGCTGAGAACTGACTTCTGCGGGTCACCTCTCTGAGGAAAAGGGCTTTGCTAGTGACAGGAGCCGAGCGGAGGGAGGGCCCCGCAGGCAGGGCTGGCAGCACCGTTGCAGCCCCACTGGCGGAAGGGTGCCCTGCCCAAACCCCACTCGCTGGTCCCACGGGCCGGCCCAGCTGAGCGGGACATCAGGACCCTCGGATGCCCAGGACAGTCCCACCACGCCTCGAGACTCGCCTGGCTGCCCCTGCCCTGTGCCAGCCCCAGCCTGCTGGGGGCACAGAGACAGTGGGCTGCTCAGTAGTGGGGGGCCCGATCCCCTGGGCTCCTCGATGGTGTCACAACAGCCTGGCACACAGCCCCAGGCCCTGGGCCACCGCCACACAGCTGGGTGATGCCGCCCTGGCAGGCACCAGCCTCCCCACCGCCCCTGACTCCCGGGGGCGGCTGTTACCAACCAGCGCCTCAGCCCCTTCTGCGGCGAAGGGGGCGCAGGCCCCGTGCGGCTCCAGAGAGGGCGTGGGAGCCAGGTCTGGCCAATCAGAGCCTTACAGGCCTCTGTGGCCAAGGTGATTGGTTCACGGGTGGGCATGTGACCCGAGGTGGGCCAATCAGAGGCAGTGGACCATGCCCAGAAGAGAGTTTCTCCTTTTCTGGCTGTTGTGGGGCCTCAGTGCTGGGAGGACCTGCCCGAGGCCGTGGGAAAGCAGGGGTGGGTGCAGAGGGACACACGGCTTGGGCAGAAAGCTACTCACAGGCCCCAGGAGAGACGGACAGATGCCCCTGCTGCATGGGGGAGCCCGAGAGACACAGACACCCCCGCTGCCTGGGGGAGCCCGAGAGACAGACAGATGCCCCTGCTGTATGGGGGAGCCTGAGAGAGACAGATGTCCTTGCTCCCCAGAACCTTCCGATCTGTGGGGTGCAGGGAGTAAGCCAGGTAAAATGCAGACAACGGATGTTAGATGGTGACGGTGCAGTGGGGAGAAGAGAGCCTGGAGCCATGGGAAGGCCACTGGTGGGGCTGCTGTCTTGGGGTGGCTGGGGAAGCCTCAGCACGGTCACAGGTTAGCAGAGTCCTGGGGAGGCAGAGTCCCTGGGGAAGAGCAGCCAGGAGTGGGAGCAGCACGGAGGAGGACTTCAGCACTGCTTTCTCCCAACCCTCCCATACCCTGGGCGGAGAACGTTTATTAGCTTATTAGGGAAGATTCATGCATTTTGCATGATTGATCTGAATAAAAAGGGAACTTTATATGCACATTTGAATTCAGGGGCAAGATGAGAAGAAGTGACTTTTTTTAGTCACTTGCCTTGGGGAGAGCTGTTAAAACTGACAAATTGCGTGAAGCACATCATAATACAAACAAATGAAAAGAGTTGGCCCCAGTGGTTTTTAAAGACTTGCTTATTGGATTTCTGGAAATATGACCTGGTGCAAAGGGAAGATGAAGGCAGTCAGCCCTACTGTAGCCTGAATATGGCAGGCAGGAGTGGGTGACAGTCTATCATGTCCACACAAACATGTGCCAGGGACCAGTGAAATGCCCAAGGGGACCCAGAAGGCTGTCTGTCCCCAGGGGGTGAGTTATGGCCTGGTGGGGCCTTGCTGTCTAGACCAGCTCCACATGGACGTGCTGTGTGGCTCAGGGGAAGCCTCTGACCTTCTCTGAGCTTCAGTTACCTGATCTGTAAAATGGGAAGATAACATTCATCTCCAGAATTCTTATAAGGAGCACACTGGGGTAACATGTGGCGCACTGTGTAGCTACTCTCGGTAAGTGCTGTCCCTGTGTGGTCCTTGTATGGCTGTGACAGTCTTTGCTGTAAGTGCCCTCAGGTGATGAGTGAATGAAACACACCTTCCCTGTGGGCACTGACTGTGCCCTGGCTCTGGATGGTGTTTGGGATCATGACTGTTGTGGGTTGAACTGTGTCCCCCCTAGAAAGGACATGTCAAAGTCAACCACAGGTACCTGTGAACGTGACCTTATTTGGAAATAGGGTCTTTGCACATGTCATCAAGTTAAGACAAGGTCATTAGGGTGAGCCCTAATCCAGTGACCAGTGTCCTGATAAAAAGGGGAAATTTAGACACAGGTACGCAAGGGAGAAAATAAGGTGACAATGGGGCAGAGATCAGAGTGATGCAGCTTCATGCCAAGGAACACCCAGGACTGCTGGGAGACACCTAGCAGGTGTTGCACCTGCTGGGAGACACCAGAAGTGGGAAGAAGCCAGGGAGGCTCCTCCCCTGTAGGTTTCGGAGGAGTGTGGCCCTGCTGCCATCTTGACTTCAGATTTAGGCCTCAGGAACTGTGAGGCAACACATTCCTGTGGTTTTAAGCCACCCATTTGTGGTACTTTGTCACTCAGCCCTGGGAGGCTAACACACCATCTTTGCCCTGGGCAATCTGGTCTTACCTCTGGGGGCTGGGTGTGGCTGCCCC